CCGAGCTCGATCTAACGTCCACGAGGTGCCAATTTCTACGTAGCGTACAGTATAGTGCATCGTTCCAAGAGTTTTCTTTCGAAAATTATTAGTGCGTTCTGCGGTTAAAGTATAAATTGTAATACTATAATATTACGTAGAACTAGTTACTAATTACGTATACTATTACTATTGATTTGTTGTACTATAATTATTGCTAAACTGTAATATATTAGAAAAGATAAAAAGTGCGAAACACCAACGATACGATAATACCATTTTTCTTTTATTTCGATACTTGGTAAGATGAGAAACGGGCTGATTACTTAAAGATTGTTCATACATTCAACGTTATTTGTTTTCTAACGTTATTATAGCAATCGATGCAGATACATTTCTCCTGGAATACTCATAATACCAACAAATTCATTCTGATTTAAAATCAATATTACAAATTTGTGTAGGAATACCGAAATGAAAATTGCAAGTGGAATTTTCTTTCCATCTCGATTCTCATTTCTTGGCGACAATGAGCTAGAATCTAGATCTCTAGATGATAGCGAATCAAACGTTTATCGTCGACTTCGTAGTTTTTCTTCTTTCACCTTTTCAACATCGTTTCACCTTTCAACATCGGGCAGTCGTACAATGCTCTCGGTTTGAAAATACGCTGAAGTCTGTGATTTCTTTTTCTTTTTTTAGAGGAATTCGCATTCTAGCATTTGATATCGATCTGCCGATTTGTTCAAGGTCGATTCAAATATCTCGATACTTAAAGCCACGAGTCCACATTTATATCGCGAGAGTTATTCGTGACGCACTTTGACGATACGTCGAATAAAATTCGAATTCTCTACAGTCAGGATTTTCAATGATTACATTCATAAATAAATTTAAGAGGAAGTGCGGACACTTGGACGTGTAAGTAACATAGTATGAATCAGATCTAATAGATTTAATAGGACTTTGAATTCAATTGGAAATTTAAGTCGCATGATTCTATTTGTTATATCTGTTTGCACGTATGTGTACATATATAAATATACGAAGAAATTAAAAAGGTACAGAAGGGAATCGATAATTTATAAAATCAAAGTTAGTCGAAACGGAAGTTTATGGGATCGAAGGATACCGGAGCGCATTGACCCAGGTTTCTCAATCGGTTCTTCGACGATTACAAGCAGGTTTCGTTCAACCGTTGACCTGAATATATTTCCATTAAACTGTACTCGCTCGAGATTGATCTTTGTATGTGCATATGATTTCACATTGAAAGTTATGATAGCAACATCGCATTTATCAAATTTCCAAATGATTCTCAAATCGAAAATACATCATTCGCGATACGTCGACATTAATCAACGATGTTAATATTTATCGATATATCTTTTATCGGACACTTGCTATGTTTTTCCTACCGATCCACCTTTTGATTCTAAATGTATATTTGACGTATTTTTGTTCCGAAAAATAAGAGAACTTCTAACGTTTAGCATAGGATGGAAGTAAGAAGTCAGGAATGTGAATAACAATTGCAGCATATTTTCCCAAAATTACAGATATTTTGAAATTATTTTCTTCGCACTGATTCTCAGAAACAGGCAAGAAGATATTGACACGTGGCCAATATCTTCTTTTCTTTCCAAACATCGACTTGCTCGCTTTCGCGTTTCCGGTAATCTCTCCAAACGTATTAATAGCCCTCGGAGAGCTAACTAGGCGATTTCGAAATCGCCATTCATCTTCTTTTCAAACGGCACCGCGCGTACCAATGTCAAAGATGGATCTGAAAAAGGCAACGAGTCACAACTGGCACGTGATCAACAGCGATTTCAATGTCGCTCATTAGCGTTCCTTGAAAGAAAGCTTGCTTTCTTGCGACAAATTGTCATCCCCGTTGTTATTCTAATTATTATCCCATTATCATCGATAATACGTCGAACACACGAACGAAACAATGATTTCCTCGCGTCGGCGAGGTCGCGTGAAACACAGGAGACAGGGTAGAATACTTTCTGGGGATCGATAATGACTTCAAACGCGCCATTGACCTCCTTTATGCAGAACCTGTTCCCAGCTCGAGACTCCATTTCTTTTCTTCCTGCTTTTTCCCTCTCCTGCGTTCTATGAATCTTGATCTTTGCTCGTCACTCGGCCCCTTTCTCTGCGAATACTCCCTTCCGGATACGCAGCATGTACCGTTCATTTCGAATTCTATCGTCGAGCACTTTTACTAGGACGACCATTCGTTACACACGGTCCAAACCCTGAACAACGTCTTTAACTTTCACGTAATTGGTGGATAGTTAAGGAAATCCGATGAAAGATTAGCGATACGTTTAGATTGATTTTTTTAGTTTCTACTTCTTTTTTGGTTCTTTCTTTTTTTTTCTTCCCCCCCCCCCCCCCCCCCCCCCCCCCCCCCCCCCCCCCCCCCCCCCCCCCCCCCCCCCCCCCCCCCCCCCCCCCCCCCCCCCCCCCCCCCCCCCCCCCCCCCCCCCCCCCCCCCCCCCCCCCCCCCCCCCCCCCCCCCCCCCCCCCCCCCCCCCCCCCCCCCCCCCCCCCCCCCCCCCCCCCCCCCCCCCCCCCCCCCCCCCCCCCCCCCCCCCCCCCCCCCCCCCCCCCCCCCCCCCCCCCCCCCCCCCCCCCCCCCCCCCCCCCCCCCCCCCCCCCCCCCCCCCCCCCCCCCCCCCCCCCCCCCCCCCCCCCCCCCCCCCCCCCCCCCCCCCCCCCCCCCCCCCCCCCCCCCCCCCCCCCCCCCCCCCCCCCCCCCCCCCCCCCCCCCCCCCCCCCCCCCCCCCCCCCCCCCCCCCCCCCCCCCCCCCCCCCCCCCCCCCCCCCCCCCCCCCCCCCCCCCCCCCCCCCCCCCCCCCCCCCCCCCCCCCCCCCCCCCCCCCCCCCCCCCCCCCCCCCCCCCCCCCCCCCCCCCCCCCCCCCCCCCCCCCCCCCCCCCCCCCCCCCCCCCCCCCCCCCCCCCCCCCCCCCCCCCCCCCCCCCCCCCCCCCCCCCCCCCCCCCCCCCCCCCCCCCCCCCCCCCCCCCCCCCCCCCCCCCCCCCCCCCCCCCCCCCAAGTCGTTTCTTGCCCAGTTTTTCAGGTCCTCGTACGAGCGATTGTTAAGCCTATGTCTTTTCTGGTGCGAAGGATTTGCATGTTGAAATATTATAAACGAATGATTGGAAAGTCTGATTAAAGCTTTAAATATTCTGTGGCGTATAACGACTAGAAACTATTATGAATAGTATCTCACTTTACTTGAATATTTCATATATTCTCACGTACTTTACGTATTCTAAACATTTTTGCATACGTCAAACTTTTATGAATGCGCAAATATCTACACTATAACAATAACAGTCCCGAAAATTTATGCGTTTGTATATTTTATATTTTGCACGGAAGCGACGGAACTTGAATGGAAATTTTCTTCACACTTGACATATGATAACGATCGATAAACCTTCCCTGTTTGATATTTTTCAATGAATCGAATTCCATGTAAGGAAGAAGAATGTAAGAAGATGAGGCGAGAGTTCATGAGAAAAAAATTTCATTCGAATGCTTAAATCTTGTTTGAATTTTATTCTTATTTCTACTTGATACTGCGTAATTGAAGATGTAATAACGCGATTCGAGGAGAGATCTGCTACTAAATTGAGCGACTGGTAAACTTGTCGAGAAGGATGTCTCAGTTTTCAGATGTATAATCGACCAATTACAAATGATCGAAGATCTAGTCCAGTGGTAGATCGTTTAATCTCGTTTCAATGATGTGCAATAACGTTTTCAACAATATAATCCACCCGTGTCAACCAGAAAATTGTAGTTCGAGAAAATATTTCCGAAAGTTAACACTTTTAATCAGATAATCTAATGTTAACTGAAAATTAAACCAAAAAAAAAAAGACGAAATGCTTCAAATTGCGCCATCTAAAATTGAAAATATTCTGAAAGTTCAATTTCAAGAACAAACTACTCCTCTTTTTCCTTCCAGATAAAAGAAAAAAGCGAAAAAAAGGTCGTCTATATCGTTCGAGAGACACTGAAAAAAACGTGGAATGTACCTAAAATACAATTTTGGACACACGTTAGAGATTAATCTGGCAGTCACAATAGAGTGCGAACTTTCACGCGTCTAAAAACGCGTCGCAAGTGGAACGAGACTCGCTTCGCGGTTTTGCGTTTTTTGAAAGTGTTTATTACTAGGTCACTGGGTCTCGATTCTGAAGACGTTTTGTCGCAACCAGTAAAGACCACGCGTTTCCAAACGATTCGCCCTTGATCGATACCTGATCGATAATTGAACCAAGAAGACCATCTCTCTCGTTAAATCGCCTTAAGTGACTCGTGTAAAACCTACCTAGTCCACCTGTTAGAACATCTTATTTTTCCTTATAAGTGGTCGATCGTACTTATAATTATTGGTCATTAGAGCGATTTAGCAGAGTATTTTCAGTTTTTCGAAACTCCGAATTCGCTCACTTACTATGATCAATGATGTTCACGTTTAGATATTTGTTTAAAAAATTGATTTAATAAAGCTGGAAAGTATTACACAATATTATTATATTATCGAATCTAAATATTAGTATATTAATATTAATATATCGAATCTAAAAAGTAGGCTGTAGAAAACTTTGAATGTATTTGGATAGTTGGAAGATTTGGAGTATTTAGTGAAACGTTGGAACATTTTCATTAACCAGAATCCTGGAGAATATCGAATTTCTGAATTGCTTTCCGTTGTTTACAGTATACCGGCGAGGTTTTTGGTTTAATAGACATCTTGGTTGAACGTCGTTCAAGAAAATTCCCGAGCTGAATTTCCAGTCTTCCGAAGCTATAAAAATATTATTTAGCTGTTACGAAGGGTTTTCTAGATCGTAAAATAATAACGTAAAATATATACAATAATACAGGACACTCTGATCGTTCGTCGATGAAAGATTTCTTTTGTTTTGTACGAACCTGTATATGTTATCGATGATACGCGAGACGTTACAGAAACCGATATCTGTTTCAGATTGTTCAAGATGGCACCAAACTTGTTTGGTACATCGGCCACGTTATATTTGGAGGCATCTCAGCAAAATATTCATCAAGAGAAATCGACGACAGAGAAGACGAACAATCAGGAATTGCTGGTCGAAAAGTCATCGAACACCGAGTCGAGCTATGAATGGAAAATCGTTTGGAGAAACGTGATTGCATTCACCTATCTTCACATTGGAGCTATCTATGGATTATACCTTGCCTTTACTTCAGCCAAATACCAGACGACTATATGGCGTGAGTATAAATTGTTCGATGAAACGTGCATGTAGTTTAGGAAGAAAATTGAGAAGAAAAGATGACTCTTTAAATTTAACTTTTTAAATTTAAAACTTAAATTTAAAATTAAAATTAACTTTTTAAATTTAAATTAATTTTAAATTTAACTTTTTTTTTAAATACAATCTATTTATAGGTGATATTGTTAATCGTTGGGCGAATGGAAAAGAAAAGAAAGAAAAAGATCGAAAGTTAATGACTGGAATTCTTACAACTAGAATTTCAATTTCAACTCAAATACACAGAAGAAACACAAGAAACGTCATTCTTTCGCTATCCTGAAATTGGTATTGCGCATCACGTGCTTCGTATTCGATCGGTTACAAAAATGATCATCTTGCCTGACTAGACGATATTCTTCTTCTTCTCTCCGCTATCATGTTTATACGATGCGATTACAGTTATTAATAACAGCCGCGCATAACTGGGTCGAATATAGAAACTTTGAAGATAGAAATCTTAAGAACGCATGACCTCGAATACCGTGGTTGCAACTTTGAAAAAGCTATCTAAGTCGCCAACGCTAAAGACGTAAATGCTACGCAACATTGTAGAGAAGATCCTATTACAATGAAGATCTTCGACAGCAACATTTCACTTTCTTGTTGGTAGAAATCGATGGGATGAAAGCGTGATCGTGAACTGCGTTAGAGTCCTGTACATCTGGTTGCATTTTAAACTATGCTGTTCTGACTGTTTTATACGAGTTCATTGTGAACGAAGGAATCACGTGTCTATACAATTGTTATTATTATTGGTATTATTATTATGCGTTTTTATAAGTTCAGGGATTTTTAAATTGCAATAAATTAATATACGATCAATATTTTGATGGGTATTGAATATGAGAAAATATTTGATCTAGTCTTTCGGATTGAAAATTATTTGGAGCTTAGGAAATGATTTTTCGTATTTAATTGTATGTATTTGAATTTAATGAAATTTCGTGTTAGAGATTTTGTCTCTACATAGAGTAGAAGGGGAAGAAAGTAGAGGGAAATTAATGTAGAATGGGACAGAACAGTAGCGGAATGAAATGAGGATGTACTAGCGTAAATAGAGTAAAGCGTAGCGAAAGTAAGTAGAACAGGAGAAGGTAGAACACGACAAAAGTTAAAGTAGGATAGGATAGAGCAGAGTCAAGTACAATAAGATTTCCGTGAAATCAAATACAACGTGTTAACGAGAAATAAAGTGTAATTAAAGGAGAAGAGGCTAGAACAGAAATAAACAGGAAAAGAATCACATAAATAGACTAATCAAATAATGTAAATAGGATATATTATGTTAGAGTAGAATGAGTTAGAGTAGAATCAGACAGATGGTGTATATAGATTATAGTAGAATTAAGTGGAACAAGATAGAGTAAGTTACTGTGGAGTCATTTAAACGAATAGGACAATAAACAACAGAGTATAATAAGGTAAAATAGAGGAAAAATAAAGTTGAGTAGAATGAAATAAAATAGCGGACCCATTAATAGGGTTAAGTAGAGGACAGCAAGATGAAACACAATAAGGTAGGAAATGTTGATATTATGATGTAACAAAACGAAGGTTAATAAGAAAGAAAGTAGAGTAGAATGAAGGTAATCAAGTATAATTCAAGCAGTAGAATGAAATAGAGAAACAAAATATTGTATAATGGGGACGAAAATAGGTCAAGTTTAAACAATGTAAAATATACAAAAATATATATGATATAAAGTAATATGCATAGTTGAATTCTAATGAAATACAATATAATATAGATGTAATGTAGGGGAATAAAATGAATTAAATGAACTGTGATACTTTCAGTTTTCAGCCTGATAGCACTTGGAGGGATGGGTGTCACAGCTGGTGCCCATAGACTTTGGGCCCACAGAACGTACAAAGCGAAGTGGCCCATGCGTTTCCTATTGATGATCCTCCAGACAATTGCCTTCCAAGTGAGTTTTTATTTCCCTGCTTTCTCTCCTTTATGAGAAATTAAAAAATTAAAACGTAAGTACTTAAAATGTACGAGGCATCGTTATGATATTTACAGAATGAAAAAAATCTTCATATTTAAATTATTTACTTCTTTAATATTGTTCATAAAACATGGATTTACATAAAAATTCGCATTCTAATTACCCAGTTCATATACGAATTGATTCTATATTTCTTTTCATCCTTGATGGTTGATGTTTCGTAAATCCTGTCATATCGTTCGTAGAAAAATAATTCTAAGATTCGAAATATCTTTTGTGTATCGAGATCATGATCAGGCTTCTTGTGTCTCTAAGAGAATAATTTTATATCGCGTTTTCATTGCAACATGTTCCAATAATTCCCTCAACAATATTACTAGAAATCAGAACGTTTGAAAACTTCAACATTGCTTCGTAGAATCACATTTACGAATGGGTGAGAGATCACAGAGTTCATCACAAATTCACGGACACCAATGCAGATCCGCATAACGCAAAACGAGGATTCTTCTTCTCGCACGTAGGCTGGCTACTAGTTCGAAAGCACCCGGATGTGTTGAAGAAAGGTGCCACAGTTGACATGAGCGATCTCGAAAACGACCCCATCGTCGTTTGGCAAAGAAGGTGAAGAATGACTACGAATTATAATTTTTCATTTCTAATAACAATCATCCAGCAAGGAGTGAAAAGAGATCTTAAAGTTGAGCCTTGAAAAATTATATTTTCTGGAATATTCTCGACAAGGAAAGCTAATTTTCATTTAGAATGGTTGTTACTAAAAATGGTAAGTACAGTGTCCACTCAAAGAAAGTAAAAGAGAAAAAAATCACACGTTAAAATTTAAGTCGTTTATTTGCTGATTTTCTTTACTAAAACATTTTCATATTTAGTGTTTGAGAAATATTTGCTAGCACACAAATAAATAAAACTAAGTTAAACTTTTTTACTTTTAGTGATCTTTAAAATCAGGATTCTATTACTCATCGCGATGATTTTATGAGGATAAAAATAAATTCCATTAAATTGTAGAAAATATTTGTTAAATCTGTAAAGTAATCGTAATGGAGGACTTGCTCCTAGTGGTGTTAAGTATCGCGTAACAAGCCAACTGGTTTCTAATGAAAGTAGCTCTTGATGCGTGTCAAAAACACAAATGAAAACTGTTTACGACACGGGATGTGCCTTGAACCTTTTTCTTTGACGTTTTACAGGCTGTATCTTTTACTGGTGCCAACATTATGCTTCGTGCTTCCCGTGTGGGTGCCCTGTTATCTCTGGAAAGAGACGTTATTTAATTCCTGGTACAGCACTCTAACTAGATACACACTGAGCTTGAACGGAACATGGCTGGTGAACTCTGCGGCTCATATCTGGGGCGCTAAACCTTATGACAAGTAAGCGATTAATTTACTTGTATTTCTAACAATTTTTTATCTTTTTGGGTAACGATCAATAGTAATTGTATTATGATACTTAATTAAATTAAAAATCAGAAGGACTTGATTTACTGATATTAAATTATATTATAAATATATTAATTTATATATATAAATATTAATTATATTAAATTAAAGTATATTAAATTATATTATAAATTTGCAGTTGTACATTAGATTGATTTCTAATTATTTTATTACAATTATCACAGTTTATACAATTTTGTAACGTTGCATTTAAAACTTTTCAAAATCATTATAGGCAATAGATACGATTCTATGAAATTCTAAATCGAATTAAATGGGGTTGTATAAATTTCCAGGGTTATCACAGGAAATTTATAAATTGTTCAAAGCATTACTTTATAAATTTCAGGAATATTGGTCCGACCGAAAATAAAAGCGTAGCCATAGTGGCATTCGGTGAGGGGTGGCACAATTACCACCATGTGTTCCCGTGGGACTATAAAGCCGCCGAACTCGGCGACTATAAGGTCAACATCACTACCGCATTTATCGATTTCTGTGCTCGGTTGGGTTTGGCGTATGACATGAAAACCGTCCCCGTGGAGGCGATTAAAAGACGAGCGATCAGAACTGGCGATGGAACTAAGTACCGAAATTACCGTTATTAATATCTTAAAACAGAGAATCTCGTCGAACTGCAAAATTTCGATTTTTCCAATCACAATTTTCCAAATTTTCTATATTTTTAAATATTTTTCATTAAATCGAGGCAAATATAGATCAAGAAGATCAAGAATCTCCAAGATCTTTTGATCTTGGAGAAAAAGGAGCGAACTTCGAAAAAGTTAAAAATCAAAAAATTGGAAACAACTCGTCCATTTTTGCATAGTAATTTTTGATACTCCAAAAATATCACGATTCAAGGTTTCGCTTCTTACTGTTTGAAAGATAATATTGATATGATTTTGAAATCGGAAATTTCAATTTTCAGGTACAATGAACACGACGACTCTCATCATCATATGCATGTGGACATGAAATGGGGCTGGGGTGACGCGGATATGAAGCCAGAGGAAATCCAGGAGGTCGAAATCATTAATAAGAGCAACTAAATGATCATTTGTGCTAGATATCGCTAATCAACACGCGATCAACCGTTCACTACGTCAATTAATATTCGTTATATGTTATCAGTGGTCTATGGTTATCGTTCCTCTGTGAAGAGATCGGCTGCTTAATCGAAATTGTTTCATTTAAAATAAGCTCCAGAAATCCAGCAAACTGAAACGTAGGCAATTCGACACAGACGACGCACGGCAATATAATTTCCGTCATAATCAGCTTGCGCTCGTAGCGCGAAACATATTAGGAAAAAAAATAAATTAACAAGAAGGGAATTAAATTGTAGATTTTTATGCATTTATATAAAACTTGATTCTAACAGGTAGAACAATTCTGTATTGCGGTTCTATCTCTATTTAAATCTATTTATAAAAAGATATAAATTTGCATAAAAATCCGCTGTTTAAATGATACAAATAAAAAGACAGACGAAAGGAATGAAAACGAAAAAGGATAAAAAAATCAATTTTACGAATCTCTTGACAGCAGTCAACTGTTAGCTCACGGAATCGGACTACATTCGTGGCCTTTGTGTCGCGATAGTCCGAAGCGTCGCGAGCCTTTTATTTTTCGTACTTTCGAGCGTTCCTTAGATACTTCGATCCGGAGAATCGAGCGTATGGTAGTTGAACAATTGATCGGTTGATCACATCGATTCTATGTTATACAATGTTTGTTATACAACACAGTGGATCGTGATGTTTTTCAAGCCGCATAGATTTATCGTAACCAAAGTAACCAAGTAAACTGTATATCGATTGATCGACTAGTTCTTGGACCCACAGACAGAAAAGACACTTTACGCGTTGGAGATCGAATCTTGACGATGGTTAATCGCCTGGGATCACGTAAGACTTCCTCTCTCGTTCCATCAACGCAAACAAGTAGAATGAAACGGTCGAAGACAGACGACAGTTACTCGTCGCCTCTTCGAATTTTACGCTTGTAAATTGTTACTATTGCAAACGATACATAGTGTTTCCTGCCACGAATAGCGTAAACGATACGTGTAATAGGGAAACGCGGTTGATCGGTAAAAATTTCATGCAATGCTGCTCGATCGATTCAATTTTGATACACTGATTATTATCGAATCGAGACGAAACTATCAAATGTTACTATACTTATTTTGTTGAATATTTATCACAGAAACTATAATAGGCTTACATATCTAAACTTGGAAATACAGTATATAGGGTCCACTTGTATACGAGCATTTTTAGCTACGATATTTTCTAAAGGACCAGCTATACTTTTTTGTAAACATACAAACTTACGAATACACGAAAGATTAATTATTCTATAAGGATCACTTCCATTAATATTTTCAAAAATAGAATCACGCACAATCTACGCACACCTGGCACATATTATACGATATCGACGATTTATGAAATTCAGCAACCAGCATCTTCCATTAGAAATTTCCAATCTCGTCAAGTATTTTACTGTATACTATTAATGTAATGCCTTGAATTTTTAAGATTACGCGAAAGGAAGTAATAATCGCAAGATCCCAGGCATCGTGAGCGACGATTCGACGAGAACGATCGATCGTAGACAGGATGGAAGGACTCGGGCTCGATGTTCGTTCGTTGGTCTTCCGTCAAATGTTTCTTGAAGAATTCGGGCCCGAGTTGCTCGCGATCACTTCATCATAGGACATAGCGTCAATTAAATGTACAATTCGATCGTGAGGCGATCGACGGTCGTGGAAACGGTTCGATTCACGAATACGTGTCATACAGTTTGACAATCGTTCCTCGATGACAGACGGATGACAGCGATCAAGTGCGATAATCCAATATCGACCACTTGTCTTAAGAATCCTGTCTTGTCAGAGACTGTCCTGTCGCGCGAATCCATCCAGTAGAATTTGTTAAAAAATATATTACGCGCGAATAATTAGTTAAAAATTATTTGTAGAGTGGCCTGAAAAGGAAGTCGAAGATTTCAGAGATTCTTTGAGAGAATCTTAATCCGACATGATTTTTTTTTTTTTATATATAAATAACCAAGCTTTATTTGATGGAAATGCAGATACCCTTTTTATTTAGAAAATTGAACAGTAGTTAAACGTAAAATCGATAGTATAAAATGTAATTAAATTCGCAATTTAGTAATAAGAATTCTTGAAATTTGATTCACGAGGTTACTCGAAGATTGGCCTGTATACAACGATACAGATACATTCTCCGTGATTGCTAGGAGTTTCTAAATTCTTCGATTTCTTTTGCCAACCTTGTTATCAATCGTGTTTTCCTATAGTTAAAATATGTTTTAAGCTGGAAGAAAAATGTGAAAGAATCGTTTTCGATACGAATGATCATCTCGTAGTAAAATTTAAGAAAGGATCCCTTTATTCGAACGAAAGTGAGATTGGGCCATAAAAATTCGTGAAATCAGGACCGTATCAGGATTAGATCTCCTTACGCTTGTTTCAGATGGTCGATTCGATTTCGCAAAATACGATTCTAAAACTTCGATCGTTGAATCGAAGGAGAACGAACGCGGTCGTGGGTTTCTTCTCTGTTCAACGCCTGTTATGTATTTATTGTCGAGAATACGAAAATCCGTTGCTGGTTATATAATTTATACCGTTCAGTTTGATAGTGATAAAAGAAATATGGGAAAGGGATGAGCAGGTGCGGCTGTAAATTGTTTCTTCCAAATCCTGTCTCGATTACGATTTTGAGCTTCTTTTAATTTATTGCGTTTGTTTGTAAATATGGATTTCTACGACAACAGGACTTTATCTATCTAGTAATCACAGAAATAGTGTCGGCATCTCTAACGCGTTTATTATCTAATCGTGAATTTCGTAAGCGTTCCTGGACGTTCGTAAACGTTCTTCTGACAAAAGAGGCGTGAAAAGACTAAAAACAATGGTGTATATATTTATTCGCGTAAAGAAGGAAATAGGTTGGCCGTAGTTCGCAAATATTACGAAGTCCTGACAAAGACAGTGTACGTGAATAAATTGATAATTATTTTTAACATATAAAACATATTTATATATAGCTATGTTATACAGAGTGTTATTTATGCCCGATTATTTAAATATTATTAAAAAAAAAATAAGCATCGTATTCGTTTCTCTCTTTAATACCTAGTATATTGTAGTACATAGAGGTTTAGGTTAGACATTTTTTCGCCAATAATTTTTTTAGTAAAACAGAATGAACATATAAGACTCTAAATAATTTCTTTATAATAATATACAGAAAAATGTGTCGCGATTAGAGTAGAGAAAAGAGCAGATATTATAGTACTTGAATTACATATGATTCATTTGACAGACAGTTTTCAAGAGATAGTCAGAAGGAAGGAAACGCTGCAAGTTAGCTAAAGGAAAAGAACTGGAAGATCTCACAGAAGAATACTTATGGGTCCAAGGCGCGGAGCGGCGAACATTGTCCGACTCGTAAAGTCTATATTAATGGAAGCAACGCAAAAGAAAAAAAGAAACTCGAAAAAAAAGATATGTTAAAAAATATGAATAGAATGTAGGGGATATAAACACGAGGTTAATTACGAGCGAAAAGGAAACAGTACTGTTTCCGTTGCGTATGTAAGCTTTACTGTGGACAATATTGACAATTTTCAGTGTATTTATAAATAAATTATTGTTATCCGTAGAAATACGCGTGTTCTTTGTCACTGTGCAACGTGTAATATCGGATAATACCGAATTATGAAAGTCCTCGTTTTTCTACCTATCCATCTAACATACGTTAATTTACGTGCTGTTTTTTACTCTTTTTCCATAAACCTCTTATCGTAACGAATTACATTGTTTCGAATTTAGTTTACACAGAAACCTCTTCACATGCTTAAGTACACATGGGATGGTCTAATACTATCGCAATGCTTAGTTTATTTGCTCCACGGATTTCTTATGTAAACTTTTTCCTCGTGTACTCAGTGTTCCCAGTTTGCAAACACGTTTTGTCATGGCATTTGTCTTGAAGATGATTATCATGAAATTTACGCGTGCCGAATTTGCACTTGACGAATTCCTTTGTCCTACTTCGATGGACAGTGAGAAACTGCGACTAAAGACAAGGTAATTAGTCCGTGAAGCGGTGTTAGAAACACGTCGTCTTAATATTCGTTTCACTTATTCCCACTTAACTAGTATTGGTATTATAGCGTGTCGTATCTCGTTATAAAATTTCAAAATGTTTTTTCTACAAATATCATTCATGAAAGCTTGCTTATAAATTTCTAAATACTTTCGTGTGTCGTTTTACTCTACTTACTCTGTGTTTACATTCCTTCACAAATTCCACGTTCGACTAATTCGATAGAATGTCAGCAACCAAAGAAGGAAACCAAAGAAAAACGCACGATTCGAAATCTTTCCAATTTCCAGCAAAAACTTCTCTATTACGAAACTTTTCAAATGCTTCTGTCCAATTTATTACATTTGCTAATACGTTTAATTTGTTCAAGGATCAACTGCATCACGAAAGACAAGTAGCTGCGAACAATTTCGATAACGCGGTCAAGGTCGCTGCTTCACCTAATGTAATGCATAATTCAATCGGGTGGCAGCGTTGATTTTAATTAAGAGCGAGATCTAGTCACGTTTGGAGCTCAAATTAAGAAGAACGTGAAACTGATGAAAATTTCGAGTTTCGTTTAGAGTCGTATCAAAAGTCGTAGAGAAAGCGTTCGCCGGAAATCAAAGGTAATTGGATTGTTTTTTAATAGTAGAATGATAGAATAATTACTTGATGGTCAATTAAATGTTTAATCTCGACGATCGTTATCGATGGTTCGAGGAAAATTTTTTATTATTACCAGATATTTATTTTGGTTCGTTCAACCTAACCGGCTTTGATTGATCATTATTCAATTTCACAGACAGAGAAAACTAATTCAATAACTGTTATGAACTCATTCAGTGTTGTCAGTTTACTCGTTTCAGTGTTGTACAGATATGGAACCGTGCGTTCATTTCATTTCATTCCAGTCTGATCGAGTTTCCCAGCTTCGCTGCATCTACTGGTCATTCACGTTCGTTCCGTATCTATCTGAATATTTGTTCCGGTCGTTGTCGCTCGTGCCATAATAATGTAATAAACGTTAGTACTTAACGGATTCGAAATTTAAGGAAAGTGTTAATTATTTGTAAAAAATAGAGGAATACATTCTGAGATTGATTTGAATTAAATTTATTAAAATTACATATTTAAATGAAACGAAGAAATTAAAGTTGAATAGATAAATGATTAAACGAACCTGTTTGCAATGTATTCTTTCTATTGAACTAAATGTCATATGTCAGAACTGGATTTTTATAAATTATTAATGAAGTAAACGACAATGTATTTGTCCTGAATCTGGTTTCACAAAACTACTCCAAAAATGTGGTTCTACTCTTAATAAATAATAAAAAATAACTTTTCTCACAGGCCCAAACTATCGATAAAAAATAGTGAACAACGTTGATATCTTAACAAAATTTACATAAATGACTGTTTCATAAGAATATATTAACTATTGGAAATCTACCAAGAACGTTCTTTTCTACCACATATTTTCTCGATCTGGAATTTTATTTCAAATCTCCCGCCTAAACTTATTTCTTCAATTCATCTCTGAAAAATGCGATTTCAATGATCAGTTGATACGTAGAAAATTGTTTCACGATTCTTTCTTGCTATGTTACAAGAAGAGAAATTGCAACGAACACGTGATGTTCCAGGTGAAATAAAAATTTATTCAGATCCACTCCTCGGCCACGCATGCGCTCGAATGGCGACAGAGGTATTGAGACGCAGTTCTGGGGGCGCTGAAAACTGTACCGTACCGTTTTCAGCAATGAGAATTCTTATACTATAATAACAACGAGTTTACTCCCGTATGAGTTTTCTTCCCTTTTGTTGGTTATTACTAAATCAATAGACTACATGTAGTTTATTTTCGGGGAAGCTTCACGTACGCATCCACAGCCACCACCACCAACAACAACAACAACAACAACAGATTCCTCGTACATGGTACACCAACACATTGATCCTGATCATCAATGAATTGCATAACCTTATTTCAGCATAATTTTCATTGTTATGTTACAAATAATTCAAAATATTTATTCTAAATATTAATTATTTATTATACTTTTTAGTATTCGAATGTATCCCCATTCGCAAGAAATGACATCGATGACTTTTGAACAAGGCGTATCGATATCCGATCTACTTAATCTGCCTCTTAATCGGTAAGTTCGTATTCTTCACAAAAAAGGTAAAGGGCCTGAATGATCGCTAATTCCCGATTAACGTATACGCAACGTATGCTAAATGAAATAAGACCAAAGTTGCTTTTGGTGTAGCCACGAGAACCATGAAGTACAATATTAATTTGTTTCGCATTGATTATCCTATGCAAAAGTTAGGTAAGTGTCAGGGATATCATCAATGAGAAATAAAGTGATTTCAAGATAGTCCAAATTTCATAACGGACGTTTTCTTTTTCTTTAGATTTTAGAGCAAAGAAAGTTTCGAAAATTCAAATAATTCAAAATAGTGGAAAGAAAAATTTGAAACTGAATATCAATTTCTTCGTTATCTTTTTTTTTTACACATTTCACATTTTACATTAAATGTAAAAATAATCAGAGATCGACTGGCTGAATATTTTTAAAATTGAGTTCTAATTTAATTTTCTAGATACTTTGGGGATTGGTTAAATACACAGATGAAAGATGATTGCACAATCAGTCATAAACCTCCACACGTGTGGTATGGAAATTTAGGTAAATACAGTTAGTTATTGCATTTATAAGAAAAAAATTTATTTTCAAAAGGATTAAAACGCTCTTATTAATTCAGTTACTATGTCCTGGTGGGATGAGTTATGGCTAAGCAAAGGTTTTGCTTATTCTCTGAAGCACAAGGTTACAGAAGATGCAATTCTTCCTGGCTGGCAAGTCGTTAGTTATTCACTTTATAACTATTTCGATACACTTTTTCTTAGATTATCTAGTTAATTAACTATTTTTATTGATAATTTCATTACAAAGTTATTTCTGCTTCTTAATTAAAAGATGTACTTAGAAGGAATTATTTTACTTGGAAAGAACCGACATATTGATAGAATATCGATTGAATCAATACTTCATTACAATCAATACAATATTATCAAATAAATTTATTTACAGACAGATCTGTTCTTACTCGAACAAATGCATTCTGCTCTTGCAATCGACGCGGAACTGAGCTCGCACCCTATCGTTCAAACCGTTAACAACACCGACGAAGTAACTGCAATATTCGATGAAATATCTTACAAAAAGGTAACTTTATCGTAGAAAAATATTAGATTTTTATACTCCACGTTTCACATGTATATCGTTCCTTTATTTTCAAGATGTCCTCGATAATTAGAATGATGGAGAATTCCATAAAACCAACTATTTTTGAAAAGGAAAATTACTTAGATCTAAAGAAACTTATGTACCAAAACTCGGAAGCCGCTTACCTCTCCAAAATATTACAAGAATGCTCTCTGGATAACTTGAACGTGACAGCTATAACAGATACGTGGACCAGACAGAAAGGATTCCCAGTGGTGAACGTGAAGAAATCTGGTAATAAATATATATTGACGCAGAAACGATTCTTGATCGATCCGAATGCTGACTTTGATTCATCGGAATCCGAATACGGGTAATATAATAAATTCAGTCAAAACACATTTAAAAAAAAAATAAAGCAAGATTATCTTTGTTTAAGGTACAAATGGACTATTCCTATTACTTACATCACCAATAAGATATCCACACCTATTCTTGTGTGGTTCGATAAAGATGCCAAAGATCGTAAATATTATTTTACATCTAGCACAATTTGGAAATTTCATGTAGCATTTTTCAACAATGTAAGTATCATCTAATTATATGAATTTTGCAGTGGTGATTGAATTGGACGACCCAGTTGACTGGATCAAGTTCAACGCATATGAAGTTGGATATTATCGTGTTAACTATGAACAAAATGAGTGGAATCCCCTTTACAATATTCTTCGATGCCAACATGAGGTAAAACATGTAATATGTTCTCGTCATTCAATTCTTTATAATTAATTAAATAATCAATTAACTAAATTCTTATCGTATTCTTAGACATTGTCGGCGCTTGATAGAGCGCATCTTCTGGAAGACGTGTTCAGTTTAGCCTATGCTGGGCAACTCGATTATGGTCTGGTTATGAATATGATGAAGTACCTGAAACGAGAAAGACACCCTATTCCATGGTGTGTGGCTTCCTCAAAGTTAATGTACATCTTTTCTCTCTTGAGGGATGGGGGCGTTTTCCCGAAGGCATTCAAGGTAAAAGAATAATTAATTTTATTTCTATATTTTTTCAAGTATTTACGATTTTATCTAGGCTCAACCAGGCCGCGTTGTTTCTTAGAATTGTGAAACGAAGTGATTTTATCATTTCGCTAAATTGTTTTGTAGAGATATGCGGGAGACTTGGTAGACGGCATATACCATGAAATAGGATGGGGATTGAAGGAAGTAACAGACGCTAAAAACAAAGATTATACAGATATGTAGGTAAAAATTCTTTGTCCCGAAACAAATAGTCGTTATTTTTTAATTTTTATTTTTATCATTATTTTTACATTTTTTCGAATTTTACTCTGGTTCACGTAGAAGACTTCAAAAGACAATCTTGGAATTCGCCCTCGCTGTGGAACACAAAGATTGTAGTCTCGCAGTCAAACGAATATTCATAAAATATTTCTTTCCTACGTATGATGAAGATCGAATAGAACACGTTCCAGCAAACCCTTATATTCGTGATCTTTTCAGTTATTACGGTAAATATCTTAACTAGTTTATATTTTAATATTCAACATTTGCGTTTCACAAGAAAGATTCAATTGATATTGAAATTTTACATTTACGTAATATTTACACTGAATTTACTAACCATAAATTGTACTCTTCTAGGAATGCATTTCATTGGCGATATATCAGCATGGGAAAGTATATTCAAAATATATAAAGCTGAGAACAATAGGATAGAGAAACTGATGTTGATGCGTACGCTCACCGCGATTAAAGACACTTCGATTTTGGAACAGTAACTCGCTTGCTTCTTTTAAAAATAGCTTTAAAGATCTGAAAATATTCCTTTACAAATTTCACACGACATGTTTTATTTTTATTCGAAAATTGGAAATTAAAGAAATATAAAAAAATAAATTTAAATAAACTACAAAGATATATGGAAATAAATTTCAAATTATGGTACTCCAAGAGAATAAATTTATAGAAGTGTAATAGGCTTTTACATTGTATTTTTTTTTTTTATATTTTCTTCGCAGATTCATCGTAACGGCCACAGACGAGAAATACGTCGCCGTCCAAGACTTCCTCGGTTGTTTAATCGCCATGTCGGAAAATCCCGTAGGAACACCATTAGTCTGGGAATGGGTGCGCTCCAATTGGGAGTTCCTAGTGGACAGATATACCCTGAACGACCGGCATCTCACTTCGTTGATCCCATCAATCACGAAGACGTTCGCCACACAGACAAGTTTAGACGAAATGGAATGCTTCTTCGCCAAGTATCCCGATGTTGGCGCTGGCGCCATGCATCGCGCCAAAGCATTAGAGACAGTATCCAATAACATAAAATGGCGAGCCAGATCGCGTATGAAGCTGGGAACATGGTTACTTCGATACAGAGTAGAAAAGTGAAGAAGGTCGATATAAAGACACTTGTTATTATGGCAAATCATATCAAAAGCATGTAAAATTCTGTCTTAATCGACAGAATTTGCAAAGGAAAGAAGAAGTTTTACATGCAAGAAGGTACTGTTATGAAAGTGAGAAGAAGAATAAGATTTACGTTTGTTTTTTGTTTTTATTTTGTTAATTTAATCTAAGAAAGAATAAAGAGAAGGAGAAATATGTTGTGTAATTTCTTGCAATATGAAAATTTATTTTTAGTTAGTTTAGTTGAGTTAGTATCGTGTAAGAAAGAGAAATAAGTGCAAGAATTTCATTAGAAGATAATTGTTTCAAGAAAAAAAGAACAATACTTTTACATGTATATTATAATACAACAATATTTATACTTATTGTAAGCAATCTGTGTCGTTTCTTTGATAAAGAAAACATCCTGAAGCAAACGAAGTTGCTCGTCGTTTCGACGAATGAAATCGATGCTATGTTTTGTTCCACGGATCAAAGGGTAATCAACAGGATAAATCGAGCCATTATAATTGTTCTTCCCTCCCGGATCGTACAATTGGATTCACTTCTATTGGACGATCATGATCAACGTTGTCAACAAAGACATGCGGAACTTTAATTCATCCTGTCCGTCGCGTTTCCGTGTCTTCGTGACTTTATAGAACGTGTTTTACCTTCGCCTGTCTTCCACGGTTAATGGCTTGACATATAACCGTGTTCTATATCCGTCAATATCGTCAGTTTAGAGTAGTCCACACTGAAAAGGGCAACTATTAAAGTCACTGCATAGAATGAGATGTTAGCTTTGTCGAGCTGCGGAAGTTTCTACTAGAATTGAAAATATTGTAGACGAATAACTGTATTAGCGAGAAATTATATTGTCAATGATTTTTTATTTCATTATATCTTTTTATATTTCTTATTCAAATCTTTCTGTCGTCGCTTGGAAGATATAGAAATACATATATCTAGATGGAAAAGATACAAAACTAATTAACAATATTTCTATTTTATCTATAACTCTAAACTCTATTTCATATAACGCTCGAACGCAATTTTTAATCGAAGTTCTACTTTCGTAGAATATTTTTACAAAATTGAAGAAGAACTTCAAATAAATGGCAACAAGTCGCATAGTAAATCGCAGAAAAATTTCACAATTGTAATTTCACCAATCATTAGAATTTGGTGGAGCAATTATACCACGAAAATTGATCATAATTCAAACCTCTTTGAATTTCTCAAATGCTTACAATCGTTATTGTACACAACTATCTATTTGTTCTTCCGCTATCATCGATTTCCCGCACAACCCAGGGGTCTCATAATCTGTCAATTGATCCGTCATTGACAAAACGAGCTGCACAAATTGATTCGTTGCACAAATGGAGGTCGAAATTAAGTCTCCGCAAATATCGAAGCTCAATTATCAGAGTAAACTTACAGATCTTTTTTCGAAAAAATAAACCGTGTAAACACTTGCTCGTACAATTAAATTTATGTTTCAGTAAATTAACAAATCGCAAAACTTTTACAATTTTAGATAATCACAGATTTTAATTTAATATTAAAATAACTTTGCAATTTTCTTATCAAAATTATTCTGATAGTAGAGAATACTATTACAATTCTTTTACAGTAAATTCTGTTACTACTAATCCGTCGAAGAACATTCATTTGTGAGTATTTTTTAAGAAATTGGTGATACGAACATCTTAACCAACATATAAATGTATAAACATCACTGAATTTTAATCATACATTTGTACAGTGCGAAAAGATTGTCTAGAAATTAATAAGTGTTTGCATTGATATAGTTGTCCGTATGGTACAAATATTTTCGTTTTCTTCAAACATGTTCGTGAAACGAAACAGGTAAAATTCGTAGCTGTGTCGCGCGATCCAAGATCTAGTTATCCGAATGAGGTCGATGATAATCCATTACGTAATCAACTACCAAAGGTTAGTTCACGAATATCGAGGAAGATTTGGCGTTGATAACGCTGCGCATACTCGATTACACGATTATTTTCGTTCGTCAAACAAGCAACAAATTTGCATATCATTTTTCCTGTATTGCGTCAAATTTAAAAAAGCAAGAACCGAGACAACGAATCTACTTGAACATCGTTTTATCAACGTCTTTTAATCGGTGAATTTAACAAACCAATCATCGAACGATAAATTTCGATGAACAATTTCCCAACATTAGTAATTATATAGAAAAAAAATGACTAAGAAACTAACCGATATTTTCTTGCATTGCAGTGGATTTAAGAAACCAAATGCTGATGGTGTAGTGTAATTTGAATAGTTTTCTTTTTTTTTTTTTTTTCAATATCTATCGATCAACGAACTAAGTACGACTAAGTAACATCGAGTAATAAATTTTGTTAAACGATCTTTCAATTATCTAAAAATAGGATCGAATATTCGATATATTCAATTTGATCTGAAGGTTTTTGTGTGTATCTACCAAATGTTAATCATTAGGTATCAAAAAGAAAAAGATGATCGTTCAAGATTATTTCTACCTTTTTAGGGTAGATAGGCATAATAGTAACATCCTCATCCCTCTGAAAGCGGTGCTCCCTTATCAGAAAATAATTTATAGGCTATTTTGTCCGGTTTCCACGTAATCTAGCTAATTTTTTCATCTGTTGTTCTCTATCCTGTATTATCATAGGTATTCAGCGGAAGCGTGACACGGCAGCATTTCGGTTTCCTGTCCGGTGAAAGCGTATTCGCAACAGTGGCATCACTATACACCATTTCCTATCTATCACTTATCTTCAGCCTGCGTTATCCTCTTTCGTACTTTTTTTTTATCTAGGATGTATGTTAGAGAAATGTCGACGCTCGTTATTCGATTCGAAAAACAGTCTTTAATTATTATTTTCGATAGTTCTTAGCCTTTCCAAGTGATGTTTTTATGAACAAACGCTTTCAAATAATCGATTAATTATTATCTTATCTTATCTATAAAGTATTATCTATAAGTATTAACTTATTATAAATAATTAGCCACGTTACTGCGACACGCCAGAAAAATTATTGAAAATTCTCAACGCGAGAATTGATTGTATATTTTAATAAACATAAAAAAAAAAAAAATAATCGATTGATCGCCTTCTGTAGAATATCGTAGTCTTTCGTCAGTGATGTTGTAGTATTTTCCATTTGGTCAAACTTTGTTGAAATATTTTATGCGCCAGGTAAAGAAAGACTTTATAAGCGATCGAATTCGAGAAATTTATTTATTGCTTTTTAAAAAAAATATATATACAGGTTTTATTTGAATATATACAGGAATATTTGATGTATACAAGAATGTATTATGGATATGTGAATTTGATATATGACTGGCTTCGAAAAATTAATTTATCAACAACGATCGAATAAGTTCCAGAAGTTTCTATTTATCGAAATATCCCTGTTATCAAACTCGACGAACAAAATTAACGAAGTTTCTGTAGAAAAGATGTTTCACAAATGATTATCGCTTCTTTTTACCTTGTATCGAAGTGGCCGTGAATTTTTCTTGTGGATTTTTTTCACCTCGAGAGACAAGTAAAATGCACATGAAGCTTCGCATGGAAATTCTGTTCGTTTATCAGATCTTATCGATAGATAAGATTATGTATATTCGTATTCTATCGATACGCGCTGGACGTTCTTGAGCTTTTAATTTTTCAACCTGTGTTTGTATAATACACAAAACCTATTCTTCGCAATGTGAGTAAATGATTATTACCGAACGATCAAGCATTATCGACTTTTCCTTTACGTATAGTAACACTCTTTCAGTATATCTCTATAGTGAATTTTCCATAGATTCTATAAATATTTTACAATTCACTAAATTTGATTATGCTTAAAATTTATATTTAATATGCATATTATTATTATCGTTTAAAATTGTCTCGTTACTTCTTTGATTTCCTATTTCATTCCTATACTTAACAGCTTTTGGATAAGTATTATATCTACAATTAATTATGGAAAATTTAACTCTGGAATTCTTTGGAATTCAAAATGCAAATTTTTAATTTCCGCATGATGATCTCTGTTGCCATAAACATTCAAATCTTCGATCACGATAGGCCAAAAATTGCTCCCAACAATTGCCGTCATTTTAAAAATTCCATTCAGCCGTCGAATTTTCGATCGTGCTTCAAAATGTAAAGTCATTCTTGTCAAAATTCTCCTTTCTAACTCTCGTATTAACGCCTCCGACGAATTTCGAAATTTGCATGGAACTCACCCGATTGGAAATTGTTTCCGCTCCATTTGGAAGCTGAGCGGAAGTTTGAAAAATCGGAATCTCCATCGTGTAACTTTCACCTTTTCTTCACGTCGCGTGGCGACCTTTTTAAAGTTCAATCGCAAGCTATTTACACGCACAATCGGGTTTCTTCTACCTTCTTCTTGTCACTGAGATTTTCCGCCACCCAGAACATTACGAATCGAAAAGATCGAAGAAACCGATATAAAATGGCAAAAGCTTTTCCCTTATGGTTATCAAACTTTTTGATTCGAATTGAAGGATTTCTTCGAGGGATCGTCACTAAAAAACACATTCGGAATATCCCAGTATTCGTGATAGAATTAATTTCACGTGAAAAGAATAAATATAAGATCAGTACTAAAATTTTGTCGCACAACACTTCGTTTTCTGGTAAACCGAGCTTGAGAATTTAATCATTCATAAAACATAATACAAAAATAGGTTGAACGTGAACGTAAGACGAAAGTATAAGCTGGTAAGAAGATGTTGCATCAAAGTCACAATTTTACTATAAATTGGCTTTTGAAAAAATAACATCCAATAAATTTCAGATTTATCATGTAATACTGAAATTACGCGGTAATATTAGCATTCCCTTGCGTTATTCTAATTTCTTAATTAAGTTTCTTAAAAGGTCAACGATAATTAATGTATTTATTTTATTGCAGCAACTATAAAATTTCAGATTATTATATTCATTTCAATATCGAAAGTATTCGATATCTTCGAAAGAATTTTGTTGCTTGAAGTCCTGTACGAAAGATAGTGACAGATTAATTGGTCAGAAATCATTGAAGACAGCACAGTCTTGACAAATCACCGAAACATATACTTATTCTTCGTATTTCTACCTGCTAATGCTATGTTACACGTTTTGAATTAATTTTTATCTTCGTTCAATTTGTCCGGTTTGGAAAAATAAAACTGGCGTCGAAGAAATAACGATAACTTTTCGCTCGTAATAAATGAATCATAGTTAAGAGATAGCCTGACACGGTGTTATACGACGAAATCATACTACTTATCTTCAGATATAGTTCCACTTATCTTCGATCATTTCATCGAAGCTAAGTTTAAACAGCGAATATAAATAAAAAATTAAGATGAACAACTTTCTTCGAAAGAATTCACGAATCCATTCCTCTTTCCCTATTTTCTTATCGCATCGGAATTTTTTAATCGTTCCTCGACAGTTCTGATTCATTCCGTGTTTTGCCGAATGTATTTTTTTATGTTTCTTCTTACTTTTTTTCATTTTCGGGCATTTCAAGCTCCGTTGAATATTTTATTGAAAAGTGCAAGGAAGAAAGGGAGAGAGAGAATCACGTTATTCTGCATTTCGATTCTCTGATTTCATACATTGTCCTTTGCCACTACGTCGCGTGTAATTTAATAACAGATCGTTTTGTGGGAACAATCGGGGCTCGTCCCCTTAGCACACGCGTGGAGAATTTTATCGAGCAGAATAGGAAACAAGCAATTGTTTCCAAATTTCAAAACGAATTATCAACTCCTTGTTGCTTCGTTATACGCTACGTGGTTTCTGACGCTTCGTCATTTTTATTTCTGCCTGATAAATCATTGCCTGGAAATTTTTACTGACTCGCAAAGTT